ATATTGTTAACCACTTTCTTTCTGCCCTTTTCAGCCATTTTCTAAATATAAAACACCAGCAGCATAAGTTTTCTGCCTGCTCGTCATAACATCAAATCCCTTTACCACTTCACAGGCACTCATAATACTTCTCCAACTTGTTTATAGGCGCTGCTAGTCCTCGAGCTAACTTTCATGCTGCCCGTAGAATCCTGAACTAAGAATTTCACTCACTGATCTCCTCGTTGAAAAACCAAAAAAAAGATTTATCCTCTCTCTCAAGCTGCCCATGGCCTCCACGAATAGCTCTAGTAATAGTTTCCTAAGATTAACTAGAGGGGACTCTGGCGCTCCGATCGTTCAGTGACCGTGGGAATGATAGGTGGTACACAAATTTGCCGTCTTGCCTAATCTTCAAACTTGCCGGCTTCAAATGCACTTGTGGCTTTGTTTATTGCTGAGTTTTGGTTTTGTTTCCAATAAAAGAATAGATCGTTGTGAACTTCCTGACCCGATTTGAATTCGTGAGCCTAAAAATTCAAGGTGGTGAAGCATAACTGCCAAACTTTTGCTCAACTTTGTATTGTGGCAAAGCAGATTCAGGTCACACGGAGCCAAAATAACGAAGATTAGGCAATACTAGGCAAATATCTGTACTACCCATAATACCCATGCTTGCTGAGGGGCCGTGCATTGCAGCTCCCATAGACACTAGCGCAGGAGTTCCCTCTAGTGTACTCATAGGAAACTCTATGGCTCAAGCAATGACGTATTGCTAGAGCCACTCACAAAGGCTACGTGCTGCCATTCATGAGCGTCAGATCATATGTCAAGAGGAGGTGGCACATCTGTCCTGCTCACTACAAATGGAGGTGTATTGGCAAATTTCACGTTATTGAACACTGATATAGAGACCCAGGGACACTAGAGAGCAAAAAAATTTTTTGGGAATTAGTAATTTCACAATCCCGATAACACCACTACCTGTTACCATGACACAACACTTAGTAAGCGAGAAAATGCATGAAAACAAAATATTAGTGGAGATGTCACCTTGAGATTTCTGTACCTAATATTGCTATGTCATAGATGTAACTAGCAAGGACAATGCAACAACAAGACGTCTACTGGTTCCAACGTAGCTTCCAATCGATAAAATTGAAGTACATTGTCATCGACCTGTGGGTGCCATAGGTCTAGCATATGAAGTTTCAGAAACATTTATGAACCCAATGTCACAAAAATACTAAAAATATATTCTGAACTTTTCATGCCGCACACCATGATTCTGGTGCACAGTTTTAAGATGACACTTCAGCCTTGACTTTCTTTGTTAATAATAAACATATAATAGTGAAATATATGGCATTAGAGTTCTCTGAGTGCAGTTTATCAATCTAAACCAAGTCATTGTTTCTCTTGAGTGTTTCTTTAACCGCAAGCCCCAGTAAAAGATCACATAATGGCCTCATCTGCATTTTCTTTTCCTTATTTATTTGCTTATTTATTCAACACTGCAGGCCTTATCAGGCCTATACACGAGAGGGCATACAAAGCAAATAAGACTTCCTATTGTGGGGACAAAAAAGAAAGGAAAAATATGGCCCCACCGCAGTGGTCTAGTGGCTAAGTTACTTGGTGACTGACCTGCAGGTCGGGAGATCGAATCCGGGCTGTGGCGGCAGCATTTTCGATGGAGGCAAAAATGCTCTAGGCTCGTGTGCTCAGATTTGGGTGCACGTCAAAGCACCCCAGGTGGTCGAAATTTTCGGAGCCCTCCACTACGGCGTCTCTCATAATCATATGATGGTTTTGATAAATTAAACCCCACGTATAAATCAAGAAAAAATATGCAATACAAAGCAGCCACAACAACGTTATAACAGTATAAAAGCAATAAACGAACAATGCATACCTGTTTCACTGAAAAAAACTAGACAGCACGATAACATCAAACGGTAACATAATTGACACACACATGCAGGCTGTTAAGCACGTGTAGCAATGTGCGAGTACATGCGTGATACATCACTTCTGCCTTTATTTGTGCACAGATACCGCAGAACCTGATGTAATGCCTCTAAATGAATTCCAGCAGCAATGAAAATGATTCTAGTAATTAAGCACTGACGACGTGATTTGGCAAGTCATTCCACATCTCTATAACTACAGGAAAAAAAAAACACACAACGTGTTACAACATGACAGGAATGGCCGTATTGATTACTCGTTGTTAGTTCTGCTGGAATGTCAGTTCGGAGCTTTCAGGTAATCATCCTTATTTAAGTTTACCAGGTTTCGTGAAAAAAGATAAAAAAACTTCAGACTAGCTAATTGTAATTGGCTAGCAAGACTTGCGACACATGCTAGCAAACACAGCACGCAAATGTTCTCCTGCTTGGCATACTTGGAAAAATAAATCCAAGAGCACTGTTTTGAAATTGTTCCAATGCATCAATCATGTTCTTTTGGTGCGGGTTCCAAACTATTGCTGCTTATTCTAGGAAGGGTCTAATGAGTGTTTTGTATGCTGTTAGTTTAACTTGAGGAGAAGTGCAGTTAGTTTACGCCTAAAAAACCTAGTTGCTTAAATGCACGTGCAGAAATTTGATTAACGTGGGCGTCTCACTTTAAAGATGATGTTACCAGGCACTTTACAGTATTCACGTGCATGATGTCTGATCCAGAATAGGTGTACTTTAAGTAAAGTAGTGTCTTTATATAGGAAATTGTAATGAACATGGTTTTATACCGTGTTTTTCACAGTATACCCTGTTTTCACAGCATACCATGTTTTTCACACCATTTACCAATATTGTCTAAAAGATTTGTCAAGTTTCACCTGGTGTTCTGTTGTGCTATTGGGAGAGTATATGACGCAGTCATCTACAAAGAGCCTCATTGTAATGCCTGGTTCCATAGCAATGTAAATGTCATTGATGTAAAAGAGAAAGAGTGTTGGTTCTAGTACGGACCCATGGGGAACACCAGAGAACACGTCGGTGCAGTTAGACTTGGCATTATTAAAAGAAACATACTGGGTGCGATTAGCAAGATAAGCAGCAATCTAATTGACTATGTTCGAGTTAATGACAAATGATCCAACTTTTTGTATGAGTAACAAGTGCCGGACGAGATCGAATGCCTTAAAAAAATAAATAAATACCGCATCTATTTGTTACCTAGAAGATATCCATTGCAACACTGCTTTACTTTGTCTGCTCCACAAGTATGTCCATTCTGATAAGCCTTGTATATTACCACTCGAAACCCCCAGACGCACATCCTCAAGACTACATAGTCATCTTAGTTTCAAGTGAATTTTCGGTAAAACTACTGCTTTCAAGTTATCAGCTGTACCTCGTGCCATATCTTACTGGAATGATCTTTCTGATGAAATAGTTTCGATAAACGACCATAGAATAATTTGCGATCGTCTGAACGCACTTTTTTTATAATCTGTTTAAATTTTTGTTCTGCTTGTTTACTATGATCTTTTCCAGTGTACAGGTGCTTTCAATGTATTTTCGAGTGGTTTCTGTTGTATTTCACCTGTTATTGTAACATTTCCCCCCTTACTCAATGCTCGACAGGGCCTGTAAGGTTTCTTCTGAATTATAGCTGAAGCAAAGTTATGAGTAACTTCTAGAAGTTGTGTAGTGGTCGAAATCTTCTTTCTAAAACCGTGTTGGTTTGGGTAAAGCAGATTATTTTCCTCTAGACAGTTGATAAGTGCTTAATTTATGATATGCTGCATTAGATTGCAACATGTGCTTGTTAGTGATATTGGCCTGTAGGTGTTTATCAGTTGTTTGTTTCCAGTTTTATGGATAGGAATTACTTTCACACACAACCAATCATAAGGAAACACCACTGTTTCTAACAATAAGGAAAATATACTGTGCAGGAAAGGGGTTAGCTGAGTAGCATAGCGCTTAAGAAGAACATTAGAAATTTCATCCAAGCCTTGTGATTTTTTCACATCGAGTTGAAGAAACAGGTTAAGTATGCCAGACTCTGTTTTAAACTCTTGCATGCGACCTTCACTGTTAGACAACGGTGAAAATGAAGGCTGCATACGCGTAAAAACTGTTGAAAGCACCTGCAATAATCCATGTGTCTTCAATGATGTTACTCGATATTTTCATTTTATTTACTGGGCTATCTGGCTTTGATAAGTACTTACTGGGCTATCTGGCTTTGATAAGAATTTACACGGTTGGTTTCTCATAAACTGAGTCCGAGTGTTTGAGAAAAAGTGGTCTTTTGCCGTCTTCATTTCAGCTTTTAAGTGACGTGAAAGCTCATTGAGCGCGATGGATTTTTTTTAATGCTTGCGGAGTCATCATACTTTCATTTCGGGTACTGCAAACTAATCGCTGAAAGGCTGCTAGCCTGCGTAAAGCCATTGCAGCCCGGGCATTGTCATTCCAAGACAGGAAGTAAGGCACCATGCAGTCCGGCGTCGTAATCGACCACAATGAGTTGAGGTCATGACAACTTTCCTTGAATGAACAGCGACATTGCAGCGGTTCCTTTGATGCATCGGCTCGAGCGTGAGACCCCGTCACCCCAGCGACCATGTACGCGCCGTGGTGGAAATGTGGTGACTCTGCCCCCAGTCAAAGATGTTGACATGGGCGGATGCGGGTGGCCGCATAGAAAGTTGTGTATGTCTTGGTATTGAACAGTCCCATTTGGTGCCCCTTCCCTGATCCACGGATCTGTGGAAACGACACTGTTTATGATCAGCCCTCGCAGGCTGCTTCGATGAATTTTTGATACCAGAACGCCACTATATAACTTGACTTTCATGTTGACCTCTCTTTAATGTAAATAAACATCTTTATCCTGTTTTCCCATACAAGTGTTGCTCCTCGTTGTAAGGCACGAGTCCGATGGGGTAGCCAGCTACCAATGATGAGAACCACCGAGCCCGAGTTGCAACAGGGCACAAGTAGCACAAGTAGCCTCACATAACTAGTTTTATTGCAATTAATAAAGAACCTTTTATCACCAACCTGTTGAACGAAGAACACGCAGTTTAGCATGGTGCTCCGAATGGTTCCACCAAGCCTAGTGAAGCGCGCATGGGTCACGCTCAGCCTTTCATGAAGTCTCGCTGACATGCGAGATGTCGCTGGTGCTCCAAAAGGGTCCTCCGGGCATGACGGGCGAAGCGTAGCATCATAATGGGGTTCGTTCTCCCATGCTGATGGCGGTGGTAGCGACGTCCCAACTTGCACGTGTTGTTGGATACTTGATGACATCGGCCCTGAAGCGGAATGACCACAGCAATTCAGCAGGGAAGCGCATTCAGTTCTGTGAAGTCCAAGGCATACCTGTAAAACAAAGAGCACATAGTTTAGCATGGTGCTCCAAATGATGCTCCAAACATGCATGAAGCATCAATAGGCAACCTTAGGAAAGAAATAAAACTATAAATTCATTCCCATAAATAAAACACACTCATTTAGCCAATACACTACAATCTTTACATAAGCATAATTATCTAAATTTGAGTTTTGAGTGGGGCTCTGTTTCTTTACATCAGAGTTAATGATCCTTCAGCGATAAAAGGCAGACGCTGCTGTAAAAAACATTTTTATGTCTGAGCCATGGTTCAAAGTATTAAACCCCTTATTGATTGATTGATATAACTATTCAGATTAAAATAACCTTATTGAAATAAACCACTTATGAAAAAAGTTAACTAAACTTCCTAATTCCTCCTTTCAGTACTTTTTAAAGGTGAGATGGCAACACTACAAGACAGAGCTTGGGTAAAAAATGATGGCTGCCCCGCCGTGGTAATTTAGTGACTAAGGTACTCGGCTGCTGACCCGCAGGTCGCGGGATCGAATCCCGGGTGCGGCGGCTGCATTTTCGATGGAGGCGAAAATACTGTAGGCCCATGTGCTCGCACGTTAAAGAACCCCAAGTGGTCGAAATTTCTGGAGCCCTCTACTACGGCATCTCTCATAATTATATGATGATTTTCGGACATTGGACCCCACATATCAATCAATCAAAAAAAATGATGGCTTAGAAACATAAAAGGCCAGGGAACATGCAGGTCTGTCTGTGCAAGTCTTGTCAGCACAATTAAAATTGTGAGTGAACCCTGCCCACAAGCGTGAGGAGGGTATAACTATAGAAGACACTCTTAGCCCTCGTGCAGTCTTGATGTAACAAGAGAAATACTTGTTAAACAATTCCCAAGCCAAAGAAACAGCAGCCCATGATGCAATGATGCACAATAGCTCATTTCACTAATGTTAATGAGATGCAACAACATACCAAATTTGGAAGATACGCAAGTACAATCTTACGCTAAAATTCTCTTCAATTTAGTGCTAAGAACGATTCTAAAGGCAGGAGATAAATAGCTATATTTTTCTGGACACACATGCACCATCTACGAAATATCAACAGATAACAAAGCCTAGGACATATTTTAAAATAAATTTTAAAGTGTGTGTCACGGCACCGCACCCGAAGCCACCTCTGGTTTTTGTGTAAACAACTAACTGCCACCTGTGTCACGAGTTTGCGCCAGCTTCCGTGGTTCTTGCGAACACCCTCTCCTAGCAGACCTATTCTATGGAAAGAAAGGCGGAGCTTGCACGGAGTACAGCCGAGCTAGCTTATGACAATACTCAAGTGCCAAGAAAATTCCATTTTTATAACCGATAACTGCTATAAACGAATTGCACAACAAAGGCAAAATAGAAGGGCTGTTGTGAGAAAGCTATTGTCATGGTGGTGAGAGTAGAGAGAAAAGAAATGTATTTGCAAAATATACAGGCAGAAGTAGAAACAGCAGTATACAAGATGGCGGAACTACAACAACGTTAGCGCTGTTGCATTCGTCATCTTCCATAGCCTTTCTGGAGCATTCTTATCCGTGCCTTGTAATACTATAATATTGGATGCAATGTGCCAGCAGACAGCAGTAATAAAGATATTTTTTAGGACATGCTAGAAAAGTTGGATACTTTCGCAGGACCACCACATACCTTTTAGACCCAGTGTATGACAACATCCGAAGTTTTAGAGGCTGGAATTCTTCCAAGTCTCAACTTCTTACTCAAACTGCATGTCCCAAAGTGCATTAACAGAAGCCACCACCGCTGCTTCGCCACACTGAATTTTTGAAAGTCAGCTTTGCCGCAATAATAGAACTCTATGCTATGAGGTGTACTGCAAGCCAGAAGAAATGGTGGAGGACATTGAAGTTGTGAGTGGAAGTTCAGTAGCTTGAATTTCTTATTTTCTTTTTGCTCTGCAAGGCTTTCACATTTTATCTTTCAGCACAGACATCTAACCACTGGAATTCATTGTTCTAACCGATAATGTGGCATGCAGACATTGGTGCAAGCAGGTTACATCACCATTGAGAACATACAAAAGTTGACCACTCAGCAGCTTCCTATTGTAACCAATATATTGTTAAAACCAGTATCGTTATATGTGGATTCGACTATACTAACACCAATGGCCTTGCTTCGGCAGTGAATTTTTGGGGTGTCAGAGATATTTACACATCTTGGAGAGAGCCTTCATTTTAAAGAGTTATTAAGGCAGTGCTCATGTGTACGCGGTGTTTCCGCTCACGTATTCAGCTATGTTTATACAAAACCACCTTGGGTGCCATCTTACTCTGTGCTCTTTGATACCAATACTGCCGCTGGGCAGTATAAAACCATCTACAAATCATTAACAGTCGCACACCTGAAGAAACAAGCTTTCTAGCCATGACAAGTGGGTCATTGGCTACTTATTACAACTGAAAAAACAAGATACTAACTTTTTCGGTTGGTGCTCCTTTTAAGGTATGGACCCAATTTTTGGAATTTCGTAGATAACTGTAATAAGTGACCATCTGTCACACACAGTAAAGCAGGCCATTCTATCTCAATATTAGAGCATGCTCTACATACTGAAATTACGATGCTAACTTCTGGCAGTATGCATGAAAACAGCTCTTAAAACACCACGTAAAAGTGCCCTTTCAAACTCCTTTATTATCATACCAACAGTGTGCCCCCAGAAGGCAATGATGCAAATTGGGAAGCGTGAAAGACTGAGCTGCAGGGTTACATCTTCGGCACTTCACAAGGCACTAGAGTCCATTGAGCACCACTTTTGCATACAGCAAAGCCAACATGGCTTGAAAAACTTCAGAGCTTCTAGTGGGTGGCTCCACTAGCTAATACATTTCAACACTGGAAACGAAGAGTGGAGCAATGCTCTACACACAATGCAAGATGACAGTTACACATATCCAGCGGCAGTGGTGGTAAAGCATTCCAGAAGTGGGCTTTATGAAGTGACCTTACAAACAGGAAACACAGCTAGGCCTTGTTTGAAGACTATTATGTCATTCACATACACTGCGTCTTGTTTTTCAATTACTGATTCAAGGAACTGCAAAGAATAGGCCATTTCTTCACAGCTGATCCCTTCAGGGCTATTCTGATCAGTAACGAGCTTGGGGTTCTTCCAGGAGGGCACATTGTGCATGTTCTCAATGCATCCTTCGTAGGAAAGTGTTTTGCCCTCGGCAGAGGCATTGTGGATATCACCCGTGCTGGATGTTGGAGTCTGAGGGGCTGGATATCCAATAGGCCTTGACTCTGCAATTGCTGCCTCTCCAAAGCCAACAATTTGAATTGAGAGTTTACGTCGGTGTGGCTCTCCAGAGTTCTTTGAAGGAAGAAAGAGTTTGCAGCTTTCTTTGAATTCTTCCAATGTCAACGCCTTCAGGATGTCAATCTCTCGCTGAAGGCGATCAAACACATAGTCAAAACTAACTATCTCTTCCCAATATCTGTCAGACTCCTCCTGCATGTACAAGTCAGAACAGCTTTTTTGTTTCACAAGTGATGAAACTTGCGTTGCAAATTCTTCTTGGGTGAGCTCAGCAATCTTTTTCGAAAATGCAAAGAGGAAAAGCTCAATTTGTTCGTCAACATATGAGCAAGTAAACTTTTCAGCAGAAGAGCAAACGCCAACTGTGAATCCAACAATACCACTAGTACTCTTGTATGAACAGCTTACATCATATCCAAGCTGCGTCTTCGTTCTCAGTATATCAAAGCAAGGCTCCTCCATGAAATCAATCATTAGCTCAGCAAGTGCATGCTGCTTAATGGAACCTGGTCCTATCTGGTAGTAGTTGACAATCATCGAGTTGCGGTCTTCAATGTTAAAGGAGGCAAGTCTGCAATACTGATTGCCAAATGGAATTTGCATCACTCGAGACTCCGGGATCATACATGTAGGGAGAGGTGCACAATTCAGTTTTTTCACTACAAGTTCACCAAAGGCAATGGCCTCAGATGCAGTGAAGTTTCCATGAACAAGGCCTTCAACAAAAAGCCGTTTCCTGAATTCCTCAACAAAACATAGAAGTGAAGATAGAGTAACATCCTCGATGACCCTTCGCTTCTCTATGTTTGACCACTGGCACTGCTGAAGAATAGAGAATCGAGTGTCTGTGCACAGGCGTGATGGCTTCATAAACAAATTGTAATAACGCTTTTGCACATGCTTTTTGATGTTTTCAAAGAGCTGTTGCTTCACTTCGACGGCAGCTAGATGGTGTAAAATAACATCAAAGAGCACTGGCAATTTTTCATTGAAGCCCAGAACGCTTATGATGAGTCCATTCTCATTAACTGATATTGTGAAGTCGAGAGATGCGCACACAGCAGCATTAGTTTCCTGACTCATGTTCTGGAGCAAAGTGTCACAAAGGATGTCCATGAGGACAGCATTTTCAACAGACACATGCATTACAGGTGATATCAGCTGAAAGAACACACAAGCTTTAGGCACATTGAATTTAGTGTCTTTCTTGTACCACAGCCGAAATCGTTGATCTTCATGCAGCTTGACTGGTAGTTCTGACTGGTGAACCTTCTCTTGCTTCAATGTGAAGTCAGTGGCAATATACTTGTTTCGTTCGGGGATCTCGAAGTATGAATCAGGCACAAGGCTGGACCATTCTGCAAGCCACTCCCTTGGAATCTCTTGGACACAGTAGGGCGTTTCAAGGTAGGGCTCTTTCTTGGTGCAGATGCCTTGGTTTTGATATTGGCTGGAGATGATCATGATGTTGGCCTTATGAGGGACGAGATAGTCGAGGCATTTTTGAATTAATGCAGGGTCATACTCAAACAGGCAGATCTCGCCATCTAGGTAATGCTTTGGTGGGTATAGTTGCATGTTAGCACAAATACGTTCAACATAGTCCAATGGACTTTCCTCTTCGGACCAGCGAAAGCTGTTGTTGGCAACCGTTTGGATTTCTTCAAAAATACTCTTTACAGGTCCCACTTTCCGCAGCATGGCTAAGAAGGAAAACACAGCTACAATCACTTCCCGAACATGTTTTAGCCCTTCTTCGGTCAAGGAGACTGTGATGTTGAACAAAGTGCAAATTGTGTTATGATGAAATCCAGTTCCCTCATTTCCAGCAACAAGGCCTAAGGCCCACATTCTGTTCCTGAGATAAGCCAAAATGCTGCCAGTTCCCTCATGCCCAACAACGTAAGAAATGTATTCTAGTGGCTTTGTTCTATACTCATGAATGAGGGATGGCAAGGCCCAAGTGAATGAGACATTGTTCACTTTCTTAACAGGCTGTACCTTATACAGTTTGGCAAACCGCTCTAATGGGAATGGTTGATTAGTGAGAGTCCTTGGAAGTTCAGGTGCAGGCTCACGCACCGGTATTGCAGAAAATATCTCTCTGACCATGCATTCTAGTTCATCCAGAGAATGCCTTGACTGCACAGCAAGATTCATAATTGCTGGGCTGTAATGCTGCTCAAAAAATGTGTGCAATGCAGCATGGACATCTGTGCCGTTCTTTTCTGGCAGTTTCTTCAAAGTTTTTGTGTTGCCCCACATAAACTTCCTCATTGGGTGTTTTTTACGGGCAACACTGCCAAGCAATTGCTGAAGACGAGAGGAATCAGAAGGTAGCACAATCTGAAATTCATTGTCGATAGCTTCCAACTCTCTCTCCATGCTCTCCTTCCTTATAAGTGGCGATACAAAACAATTGGCAAATATGTCCAATGCTCGGTAGAAATGTTTCTGGTGAACTTCCATCTTGTACACTGTTCTCTCACATTCGGTGTAAGCATTGTCACTACCTCCATGCTTCTTCAGAAAAGCATCGAAGAAATTCTCGCGCGGGTACTTGCTGCTGCCCATGAACACCATGTGCTCGAGAAAGTGTGCCAGCCCTGGCAAGTGCTCTGGTTCGTGGAAGCTTCCAACACCGACGCAGAGGGCGGCAGCTGCCATTTTCTCCTTCCTAGTATGGTAGTGCTGTCTGCCGTTTTCACGGGAATACTGTCCCGACTCCATGTCACTTTCAGGCTCACTGTTGCTCCAACCGCGGACACTTACATCATCGTCACTCATGCTCTCATCTGAAGACGCGTCTGAAAACGGTTCCTCCAACGACGGTGGTCGGCTGGAGGATCCAGAGCCAAGTTCGGCCATCATATCGCAGTGCCCCTCATCCGGGCTTTTCGAATGCGGGACGTCTTCGCAGTTTGCAGAGCTGAGGTAATTTGCTATCGACGATGCGAGGCTCACTTTCGGAAGCGAGGGCACTTGCGCTTCATCGCCAATCTTCACGTCCGGTAGTTCCTCCGCTCCAACCAGGCAGCCGTGACTCGCCTTCTTCGAGGAACCTGGTGTTGACGTGGACTGACGAGACGGAGAGGAATGTCTGGACGAGGAACAAGACATCGAAGACAGTGGGCGTGTCTTGTGGTCGGACACCAACAGCGCGGTGAGACCATTTTCCAACGTGATCACCCTGTACTGCCTGGTATCATTTGCCGACTGCCGAACGTCTTCCATTGTAGCACGCGCAGTCTCTCTACCGAGGGTAATCAGAAAACGAATACGCCTGATAGTGTGATATTTTTTTAGTACAGTATCACTGCAGTGGGCACGCCCATTTCAAAGTACCGATGTTCCAGGCCCAACTTGAGTCTTCCCAAGATGAAAGCGATGACGCCTCAGTAGTGCTGCCGACAGTGAGACTTTCTGATGACGCAGGATGAACACCGCGAAAGCCCGCAATCACAGTTCACACGTTCTTATCGCGGTCTTTGCGATGTCGGAGAAAAATTGTGTTTTCAAAAAGTACATACATACGGCACGGCAGGCGTTGAAATAATGTAGCGTGCAACAAACTCGGCAGAATGGAACGGAAGCCGAGCAGCCAGCTGGCTGGCAATGAGCTAGCTGGCTCTTTGGCTCAAGCCACGGCATGGATATCCATAGCTAGCCTACCATAGCCAACGCCTCCTAGATTACCCGTGCCTGCCGGATTATTGGCGGTTACTTGGGAAGCGGCGGTCGTCGGAACTAAAGTGATGGCGCTACTCAAGTAGGAGTGTCATTAAATAGTTTTTTACGTTTTTGGAGCTTATATGCAACAAAAATAACGTAAAAAAGTTTTAGAAAGGCATAAACATAATTTTAATTAACTCTAAGTAAGTGACGTTGTCATTCAGCGAGCAAATTTTTTATTACAAGGCATCGTCTAAAATTAGTAGCAAACGCTAAAATTGCTGATCTTAAAGGCCGAGTACAAAGACTTTTACACCTACGTAGGCAGCGCCGTCATAGATGAACGGCGTTTTGCACTCATCCGGCAGGCACAAGAAATCTAGGAGGCGTTGCCATACCATGGAGGAAGATCCCCATATCCATGGAGTTTCATACGATAATACATATTGCATGAAACTCGGCATCCATGTCTGTGTTCGTGACACTAGTTGACACTCTCATCTGTAGACTGTAGTAAATTTTTGGCACACACTTGCGCGGAGGAAGGATAAAATAGGTATGCCATAAATTGGCAGGTGCTACAACTTTGTAATACATGCACTTACCATCAAGTGAATAATTTATAAAGTTAATTAACAAGTTTTTTTTAATTAGTGGCGACGATGGGAACCTTACTGTCATAAAACGTTTCTAAAAAATCTGTAGTGTTAAAAAACACCCTTATTACGGTCTCCCACAATTCAGTTACAGTGTATTAGTCACTCGCCGCAGCAGGCCCGCAGCGCAGGGGTTGGGGGTGTTTTACCAAGATAGAGAGAGAGAGAGTGTGTGTGTGCGTGTGTGTGTGTGTGTGTGTGTGTGTGTGTGTGTGTGTGTGTGTGTGTGTGTGTGTGCAAGGGCATTCAACAAGTGCCCCTTTTCCTCCGTTCGAAAAAAACATACACGTAGTAGTGGCACCCAGGCAGTGGCACACTGAGCCAGTGCCCCCGGGCCCTCCCCCCGAAGTATTTTTTCGCCTTGGCGCAGAGAGCAAAAAATGACCATTTCAAAGCGGGTGCCCCCACGAAAAAACTTCTACCTACGCCTTTGGTTGCACTGCTGGCTAAACATCTCTCAGATATGTAATCAGCTATGGAGAAAGGAAAAACTATATTTTTTTTCTTTCTCCATGGATACAGCCGTCACGTCATGTTGACGCCATTTGTGGTTTGCGCCATCCACTTAAGTTACGTAAGCAGGGCTACCATTTCTGGCAAGCAGATTACCACAATGTCCATGTTGCTGCATCGTTACGCAACAGTAAACAAATGGTTATGTGAAACATATGTGACTGTTCAACATATGTCTGTGCGTATATATATATATATATATATATATATATATATATATATATATATATATATATATATATATATATATATATATATATATATTAACGTTTCTGTCAATAAAAAAAATTCAGTGCAGTCAACTTCGCGCAAAGCATCGATTCCCAGGGTACATGAAATCTGCCGAATTTTTATCGTCGTCTTCAGCATATCACAGAAAAAAACACGGAAATGTCTGGTTTTTCACAAGAAATTAAAACAGTTTCAGAAATGTTGCAGGTTTAGTCATCAGGGAACACAGCCGGTGATCCACATCATGCAAATTCGAAATTCGCGCTGATTGGAGACAAGTAGACGTATAAAGACGGCTTCACTTCTGGCTTCAGGAGTGGAAACTTTTTTTTTTTTTTAACACTTTAGTTTTCTTCCTCCATGCCTTGGTCCATCAACAGCAGGTGTTGCTAGGCGCTTGAATGCGCGCGCTCGAAGCTGCTGGCAACATTCATAGTTTCCGTTTTGCGTTGTCGTGCAGCGTAGGTGTTCTGTGGTGAGGTTCGAAAAATAAGAGCGTCGAGATAGCTAGTAGGAACTGCTCCGCAAATCAGTAGTGCACGTTGTCTGTCACTTGTTATGTGTCAGAGACCTGTTGCACCGGTGCGATTACTCTTTCGAAATGTCGCTGGGAGTGGATCCCGTGGTGGCGACAGATAACGTTTCGTCTCAGGTAAGACGATCACAAGCGGTATTACCCAGGTGATGTCAACACATGGGGCTGAAAGTTTCAGTTTAATCGATTTTGTCTTACTTTCAGGCTGACGAAATCGAGGCGCTAAGCGCAATATATCAAGACGACTGGAAGGTGGAAGATGCTGCCAACCGCGTCTACAAGATTGTGTTGTGCAGCGAATCCAACGGCGACAAGCTGAGCTTCCAGGCAAGATTGGACTAAAAGCGCGTGTGATAATTACTGTATTACCAACTGAAAATTTCAGGTTACACTGCCACCCGAGTACCCCTCGGAAGCGCCGCCGTTTTACGAGATAAGGTAAACACGCAATATTGTACCAACCTTTTCTTTCGCGTATGAGGTCTTTGCAGATTTCACTAGGTTCTCTCTCTCTCTCTCTTTTAATTACACAATAGTCGGTTGCTAATGTTAATGCCCTGGAAAAGTCGCCGGTTCGATTCCGGGCGGGCCAGCCGCATTTCAATGGAGGCGAAATGCTACTGTGCGATGTAGCATTGCGCCTCCATTAACACTTTGTTTAATGCGCATTGTGTAAAATTAACACTTTGTTTAATGTGTATGTATGCTGTCATGTCACCGCCGTATGTGCAGCCAATGAATTTCTCTCTCTCTCTCTCTCTCGAGCGCACCATGGATGTCACAGGAAAGGAAGGCAAGGCTCTTGGCTGCCTTGGATGACCATTTTTAGTATGTCACAGTTTGATTTACTTTTGAAATTGTGTACTTGAAATATTGAAATTGTGTACTTGCCACGTCAAGCATACTTACCACCCTTAGTTCTACATGGCAGTGCATCTTTCCCTGAAAACTCTAAAAACAAAGAATTCATAGTTATTGCTGCTGTGTTCCTGCTCAAATTTTCCAAAAAGCTGGCATTTTATAGTCCATTTTTTAGCGAAACAATTGGCATAGCTACCTGGTTTATGTTTATGAATATAAAGTGTTTTTTAGACAATACATATTTTTTATTAAAATGGCATGACTGTCAGGCGTCTGCGTCTTCGCAAATGAACTCTCGCCAAGGTGGAAAAATTATGCCACTCCTATAGTTACACTGAAATGAATCATTAACAAAAACTTATTAACATTTTGATAATTCATTTGGGGTCAGTTTACGTTGAAAAGTTATAGGATGTGACAATTTATGGTGTACCCATTTTTTAAAATCTTGAAAAAATGTAAGTATTTTGATATATGAATAATTGAAATTAGGGGCCCCAATCCAGACAATGCTGAAACGCTCTAGGCATGCAGGGAATGGGCCATCTGGCTTATGTCAAACTGGAAAGCTCTTCTGGCGAACTTAGAAAAAAGATGTAACTCATCGGAATTTTGGTTAGAAAAAATGCCAAGTTTACCTTTGTTTCAAACTTCTTTTGGTTTGTAAATTTTGTGGACTTGCTTTGACGAGCCTGTACTGTTGCAATTGTTATAAGGGCTAGGTCATGTGGTCCTTGAGTTCACAGCTAGTGTATCTTTTCCAAAGCTGCTCTACGTTCTTTCCATGTGACGAGTTGCCTGCCATTTCATATAACTCATTTTTATTCACATCAACTATTGCAGTAATCATCTGGGTGAAAACATCCTTTATGACTGGATTGAGATTGCTCGCAAAGCACTTAATGAAGGCCTTGCTGAGTGCGAATCACCAGTTACTAGTGATGATGAAACGCCTGAAGTGGTTGAGCCATTTGAGCAGCTGACATTGGAATCTGATCAACCATCAGGTAAAGTGCAATTTTTTGTACTGAGACGGCAACCTGTGCAGGTCTTACGGTTAGGCTTCGCAACAACAAGCTTCAGCAACACACCTCTGCTGTGGTACTGAAGCATTCCTTTTTACAAGATAACATTGTTTTGCTGTGCCACTAGATCATGCAATCATAATATGTAAAAACTGGATGAAAATTTTTAAACTTGCATGAGAACTTTCCATGCAGGGGCAGAATGTTTTTGTGATCATGAGCGGCCCTTTGTCACATTTTTACACTAGTGGTGCATCATGTTGCTCTGTTGTAGCAGAGCTGACCATGAGCCAGAAGGATGAGCTCTCATCCATGACTGCATTCTGTCGCATGAGCCATGCATATGTTTTAATGAAACAATATTTTAAGTTATTATTGCTATGCAAGATTCATAAGTATATCTGAAAAACTACTGTAGTAGTGTCATTGTTACATGGCTTTACTTAGATGAAGACAGCTCTAAAAGGGACAGCTGTGCATAGCAACTGAGCTGTGTACAGCCACCTGCAATATGCAAATGAAGAAAGTCACATGCCTTTACCCACCAATAATGTAGCATTGTTAAATGACACTGTGATGCAAAAGATGAAGTATCACTGCGCTATGCTTGGCATAAAAGAGACTCAAGTTGCAGATGCCGAAGATTTTTGTTTTAATCAGTGAACCTTGAATTGGACAGAAAAGTGAATGTTGAAGCGGTAACCATTTGCTCTGTTCACTTCTTTCATGAAAATTAAAGCATTTCTGGATGTATGTAGCTTATGTTTTTACTGGTGATAGCACTATAATGTGACTGATGGCTAAATTTTCATGCTTGAGTTGTCTGTTTTGATTTCAGCCACGAATTTCAGAGATGGCTTGAATATCTTCCATGGTGAAACACTCGAGGATCGTAGAAGTGTATTCCAGGCTCATCTTGCTGAAGTTCACAGTGCCAGAGAGGTGTGTGTGATGTGCTAATTCACAAGACCGTTTTAGGCATAGTATCACATCATATGCTTCATTTGATGCGAAACGAACTAGTGCCATGAGACAGGAACATATACGAGAGACACACAGGACAAACGCTCAACTTTCAGTCGATGTTTATCGAGCATGCGTAAAAATTTATAACTGCACCTAGCAGAGTGATAACATTCGGCAGTCATCTACCCGATAACAAGAGTGTCAAAACCTCACCAAAAACGCTGCATCACCGCGCACGAATACTGATCAGCTTCTTGCCGCGCAAAGGTGATAGAAAACGCCCAAGATTAAAGAACCAGGAAGCATTGGCGTAAAGATACCTAGAAAGATGCATGCACAATCACTCAAGCCTAACCATCAAAACTCTTAGGCCGCGTTCACACTGAGCATTCCGGCCGCCGAAAGTGCTCCGAATCCGGTTCGGCGGCGGCGACATCCGCCAAAAGGGCCCTCTCCGCGCCGATCGCTCTCGGACCGATTTTTGCGGCGTCTGCCGCCGAATCGGTCACTGCGGACCAATAGGAGCGCTAGTCAAGGAATTTGAAAAATGGCGACGAAGCCCTACTCACTTGTTATGCCGCAGTGCACGTAACTGAATGTTTAAACCAACGGGAGTTTAACCTACTCTGTGCCTACTTCGCCTCTGTATTTCGTGAAAGATGTGACCGAGCTTGCTGTTGGCGTGACCGAGCTTGTTGGGGCCTTGCAGAGCAAAACGAACCCACCCACGCCGCTGGCGTCGGTGGTTTTTCTGCTCTTCGTGCATTAAAAGACAGCCACTTGCCAGCAAAGTAAGCAGTACTGTCTTTTCTTGCTTCATGCGTACGAGAATCGTCGAAGTATACACCACCGGATAGCGTAGTAGCGTTTGTGAGAAGTGACAATGACCGGGTGAGAGCGCATCCATCCAGCATTCGCCCCATGGTGAATGGCATATTCGGCGGCGCGGGGCGCGTCCAGTGCGAACGACGCTGCGTTTCGGCGGCAGGGGAATTTCGGTCGCTGTAGAAAGCGGATGTTTCAGTGTGAACTAGGCTTTAAGAAAGCAAGTGCCTAGGAAGCAAAACAAGCCGTCAAAGAAAACAGCCTATCAATATGGAAAGCAGAAAAACCCACCCTTCTAGAGAAATAGGCTATAGGCTGCGTATGTGCTGAACATAACTCCTAAAATATACTTAAGAGCTCCGCTAATAAAATTAACAGCTTTGACACCAACATTTAAACTAAGGAACAACTAAAAACAACAACAACAAAAGGACAACAAAGCTTGAGCACGAAGGCACTGCACCAAACCATAAGAAGACCAACAACTGAACATTAATGATTCCTAAACAATAAAGAGCTGCTCCAGAAAATAGTGAAAAACAAAATATTAAAGAAACACGATCATCTAGAGAAAAAGCTAACAGCACAAAACTTGTATGCCACAGAATTGAAGCTTACAGATAACCTTCGAGGAAGGTGACTTCCTTGTCACTGAGTGTGATAGAAGGAACACAGATACACATGTAACCTGTCATATGAATATGGTAAGCTTCTACGATTTCTCTTTCTAGAAGTTTGGTCATGTGGGTACTTGGGGAAAGCAACGCGTGTGAAATACGGAATGTATCCACACATTTTACAATGCTCCACAAGGTGACCACCAACGTTATTCTTAATTGACAAACAATGCTCTTTGACCCTTTAATTGAAACATCTCCCTGTTTGCCCTATGTACACATCATCACAGCTCAAAGGGATGCAGTACACAGAATTGGGCGTGCATACCGTGAACTGCGTGGCTTGCTGTTTGTAACACTGCGTACGGCCCTTATTAGAGGCGAGAGGGAGAATTTTAGAGAGTTTGCACAGAGCCGAAAACAAAACATTGCATCATTCTTCAAAATAACTTTGTTCAAATTATGGGAAATGTGATGGATATAAGGAACGGCTAGAACTGTCCGTCTCTCAATTGCACGATTATTAGTTGTACGAGCACACTTAAGCTTCTGCAAAAAGGACTTGCACATACTTTGGATCGGTGATGGCGGGTGCTCAGCTGCTTTTAGATGCTCAAACTGGATTTTAAGCGCTTTTGGCATTCATGTCAACAGGATTTATCTAATGCCACTTTAACACAAGCAGTAACAATCCCCCCTTTTGATTTATAGTGAGCACTGTCAAATGCCAACAAACCCTTCTTGGTCATAGGATTATAAATCCAGCATTAATGATTGTGCTTAAAATTAAGTTTTATGTATCTAGAAATTGAATGGTGTTCTCCTCCAATGATTCACAAGTAACTTCAAGTTCTTCTGCGGAGCTTTCGAATAAATCTAATGTGCCTGGTTTGATATTGTTGGGATATCCATATTGTTACATGCTTATACAACCCGAAAATTGCAAAGTTTGTGTGCAATATGCTTGTTTGCACAGGATATAAATGTGCAAAAAACGGAAATATACATGGTTTACGCATAATTTATCTATCCCGTGTAAACAAGCGTATTGCGCCCAAACTTGGCAATTTTCAGATAGGTGGATGGTTACCTGCTGATATTCAGTGACATAAAAGGACTAGTCTCCGACAATATCACCACAAGCACCACTTGTTGAAAAGCTTCGCAGAAAAAAAAGTTTCCCTCCACCCCCCTTCGGCACTTGCCTATGCATATGCACAAATGCCCTAAAAAACATCGAACCATGACATGTGACTTCATTTCTTCATTTAATAAGGAGTTAACTATGCAGTCTTTGTAGATGCACTACAAAGCTAAATTAAGAAAAAGAAAAAAAAAAAAACAGCCGGTGCTTGCCATATAAGTTTGGCATGCACACACTGTTCGTGCATGTGGGAAAATGCAGGAAAGTAATATATTTGCAGACACTAGCCAAGGCAAATGGAAGTTCTCTTCTCCTGGCAGCAATGTAACCGGACAGTTCGATATCTCAATTTTCTGATAATTAAATGATTTGATCAGTTCTTTCAGAAAAATGCTTTCTAGGTGGCACCTTGAAATTTCTACTGTGTAGCCAAAATTGCAGTGGGGCCTGGTCAGGGCTTTTTAAGTAAGAGGGATCACTCTGCTTGAACGAAACTTCATGACTGAGTTCCCAGTCGTGTTTAGAAGCCAGAAGCTTTTGATGTTCAATGAATTGATTGCCATTAAATTGCTATGTCTGTCAGTCAGATGAACTTTATAATAAAGTCCTGGGGAGGAGCTCCTAGGAGCCCACCAAGGGTCTTGCCTGCCAATTCCTGTTAAATTACAAGGGGGCAATTGTGATGTTATCAAGAGCTATAAGAGCTGTTCAACCAGAATGAGAAGTATAATGATATGTGGATTTTTGTGTCGCAAGGGCCATTGGTGGCCAAAGAGTGCATTGTCCTTTATGTAGTGTTAGGGATGACAAACAATTACAAGGAAAGGGTGTATTGTGGCTGTATAGAAGCCTAAAATCACGCGCTGCAGAGAAATGTAAAAGTTGTTTATAAAGTGTGAAATTATGGCAGTGATACGTGATGGATCTATTGGTGTGGAATGAATTGCAAGTGAGTATGATATCTCCAAGTATATACCCAGGTAATCCATAGCATGATCTCTAAAAAGAGGCTGTTGCTACGACAGCCACATTACAGAAAGCACTTATACCTGCCTTTGGTCTCAAAGGCCTTGAGAAGGAATTCGTGCTATTTTCACGTTGCTCACTTACCGAATGTATTAAGTAACATTCGTAGAGTGTGCTTACTTTTTAAAGCTGAATAATAAACCCCTCAAAATATGAAAAAAAAAAAAGACTGTGCAATAGGATACCTGCCTACATTTGAAAGTAATGTCTCATATTAGTTGGTTGTTTAAGGTATTCGGTAGTTCACTGGGTAGAAAAAGTATTACGAAAGATATTGTGCCACTAAAAGACAACTACATGCACACTTGTTTCAGGACGTTCCAATAGCTATTGTGCCTTGTTTTGTACTAAGACCATTGCAATAAGCTCTGAGGGTGCCATTAAATGATCAGTCTTGTTTTATTATGACAGCACTATATGAACTTTACAAGTGAAAATTCACTATCACTGTCATCATGATGTTCCCTATATAGTAAGTCCAAACACAATTAGATCCTTGCACATGCTACACTATGGGACTAGGGGAAAGTGCGAAGGAGCGCTCTGTATTTGTACATTTGGCAGGAAGGGAGGTGAGATGATCATGGTGTAAGGGTGGGGGATGGGGAGGGAAGGTAAGCACACATGCACAAGGTAGGAGAGGATGTGCTGTTATAGGTGTGTGCAGTAGTAGAGAGGAAACTGATAGAACAGGGGGCTTGTCACACATCCCTTCCAATAAGCTGAGTGGGTAGTAGCAGGAATTGCTTTGTGTAGTGATGATCGCTAAAGGCGGCAGCAGTCACAAAGGCTGAATGAGCATACCTAATGTTGGAGGATCGCCTTGAAGTAGCAAAAAACAACAAGATGTGTTTGCACTTTTGCTTGACAAGGCAAGCATTGTTCATGTTTTCCTGTGCACTGATGACTCTATTCTGATTAATAAGTAAATGTTTACTGTAATAAGAACTATAGGCCTTGCTTTACTGTATAAACATCACTATATAACGAAGTTTCAGTAGTGCTGTAAAAAAATATCGATAAACATGCTTCTTTATATTCTAGATAAAATGAATGCATGGTGTTTATGAACATGGTTTACAACATTGAATACTTTGTTATTTCAAAATTGTTATTATATTTAGGTTAAATATATTGCATTTCTTTACATTTATTCGTTTACAAAATACTGCATGCATGTGAAGGGCTGATGCAGGTGAGTCATCGTGTAAGAACAAAATAAAATAAACTTTTAAAACAATATAAGTATGCAAGAATAAACAAAACTTGGCACATTAAAGGGGCCCTGCAACACTTTTTGAGCACGGCCAGAAAACGCTGCCGATCGGTAGTAGAGGCTCCCGACAACATGGGAGCCAAATATTATAGCGCAGCAGGCGGCCCGGAATTTACAATAAATTATCGAAGCCAGCTAAAAATTGCTTTCTCTTCTCTAGACAATTGACAGAAGATGCTCAAAGATCACTCGTAGCGAACCCATCTGTCAGCCATTGGCTGATTTGAACATGGCGTGCTCGGTCGTTACAGAGATCATCGCGAGAAGGTGCGACTTGTCCGTGCGTGCACATGCGATCACACTGAAAAAGCTATGCATTTGAAGAAAAAAAAGAGAAATGCTCAAGGTCACGAGGCGCAGGTGTCGTGTTTTCTTTGCCCCTGCAATACCTCCCTGCTTAGCTTCCAGCGCTTTTGTTGGGACGAGAGAATACAATTGCAGCATGCGACAAATCCTTTAACTCCACTCGCACTGGACGGATTCTTAAAATTTTTGCGGCGTTGAATTCGTGAGGCAATAAGCTCTTCCAGTGAATTCATTCCATGGTTACTTAAAAAAGTGTTTCAGGGCCCCTTTAAACAAAGCCCCAGAATAATGAGTAATGCATGGTTCAGCAGATAAAGGTTGAGTAAGTACATTGAGGCAATTTACAAAATAAAAAAAAAAAGTGTAGGATTACCTGAGAAATAAAGTCAGTGCTGTGTAGCGATGTGGTAGGTAAAGTATTCCATTAGAAAATGATGCAATGTAAAAAAGAATAGCTGCGAAAATTTGCTTGGTTTCAAAATTAGTTAAGGATTCATGGTGCGGTATCTTGTTAGCCTCAGTTTTAGTGGTAGCAGATATGGCTGAAGACAAAGGGACAGTTTGTTATTTTTACTTCTTACTGTACAAGGCTATATTAAAATATCAGTCAACTAATTGTTGTTGAGAAGTGTTGCAATATGAGTATGTTGGTGAATCATCTGAACACCTTTGATGTAGCACAAAGTGATAAATGGGCATGAGAAGACAGATAAGCACTATGTGGTGTCCTTACATGCCTTCTCTTGTCCATGTGTCATTTCGGACTGCATCAAAGCTGTTCAGCGGATTGTTGTTTTTTTATATTACATTTAGTAATCATAAACACTTGCTATGGTGTACCTATTTGTCATTCAAAGGTTGAACAAGTTTTGGATGAGTTGAACACAACTAAAAAGATTGCAGAAGCCACGCACAACATTTGGGCATATCGGTATGTTAATTCATTCATTATTTAAAAATATTAAGAGGCATAATGCTATTTACAAAACCTGAGTGTAGCCTTTTTTATTTTTCTTTTTTTTCTCTTTTTTAAGCATTGTTCAAACGGAGCCAAGAACTACGCTGTGCAAAGACTCTAAGGATGATGGGGAAACATATGCAGGAAATCGTCTTCTTCATCTTTTAGATGTAAGTTGTTTCCTTCTCACAGCTTAAAGCTTGCAGGTGTGCAAAGAAATTGGGATAAAACAGTTGCTGATGCTCATATGTGAACATTACTTTAGAATTCAGTACATACGCAGCACTTTATTTGTGTCTATTTCTGCATCTGTGTTTGGACAAGGTCATGTGCCAGTGCAGTTTTGGTGCTAGAAATGCCATGTTTCATTTACTTTTTCTCCCATCTGTGTGGTCAGTGATATGTGATAAAGTGATGCGTGTGTGAAGGTTGATTTAAGATGAAATGTAAAATTCACTTAGCATGTGTAAAGTGGCTTGATAATGCTTACTTCAAATCCTGTGTTCCTGCACTAGGCTGTTAGTCTGTAGCAAAGCAACATTCCAATGATTGTCTTTAATACTTACTGCTAATAATATTAGTTTATGTTAGTTAAATGCATTTTACCACATGCATATCTCATGATGATGCCATTCTATTTGTCCACTACTAGTAATTGCATACAGTCTCGCATGTTTGCTGTGACCTTCTTTAAATTCTCTTCCTGCTTTCTTAATGAGGTAATGCTTGTCCTTGTTCTCTCAGATTCTCAACGTGACAAACGTTCTCATAGTTGTCACACGATGGTATGGAGGAATTCACCTGGGTCCAGATCGCTTCAAGCACATCAACAAAGTGGCCAGAGATCTTCTTGAACAGCAGGGCTACATCAAAAAGTTGCCAACATCGAATTCCAAAACCAAAGGGAAGCACATGAGAACAAAGAGCAAGAAAATGTGAACGGAATGCTTCAAATGCAAGCATTTATTTATTTCCAGGCACTGCCATTTTCATGGTTTGACACTAGGAAAGGCTGAGTAATTCTGTGCCAATGGTAGACAGTGAAATACTCGAGAGAGTCGCGGTCTAATGACCAATGATGTTGCATCCATATCAAAATTTGTCATAAGCAGTGTTCTTTGGAAGGCCGGCAACAACAAAAATGCGCAATAGGCAGGTGAAGTGCGATTCGTCCAGTGTTTTTCTACTTACCTTATGCTATGCACGGTGTTTTATTTTAAAAGGTAAAAAATGAGACACAAAAAGGGAATGCGAAATGTACTTGTGTTTCCATATTTTTTTTTCCCATTTTCTTCTGTTAAATTATGCATGTCTTCATATGAACAAGCTCGGTTAATCACTACTCTGTTTATCATACAAGCCTGGCTCCAAAACCCAATTTTAAGAATACTTATTTGGGTGCTTTTACCAAATTGTAATTACCAAGTGTTATTGTGAAGTGTCATGTGCCAGTGTACTTTTATTTGTGAGGCAGAAGTAAGCTGTTCATTTTATACTGCACTGGCATTTGCTTGTCTTTTTTATTTCATTTTTAAGTTTTTGGACAGTTGTGCTTTTGGAAGTAATTTACCAGTGCAGTCACTGTTATATTGTGCAAGGTATGCAATCTCTTCTCGTTTTTTTTCTTCTTTCGGCCTTTTAACACTTCTGCATAGTGATATTGAGCAGTACTTTGTAGTGAAGCTCCATTTTGCTAGAAAAAATGCACTAACGCTGTAAATAAGTTGTTTGTAGTCATTATGCAGATCTCAACAATTTGCAAAAGTGCTATATATGTTGAAATGAGTGTTGTACTGTGTGTTGAAATGATGGTGCAATTTGGTGCTGTGAGAAGGGACAGGAAAAAAAAACAGTTAAAAGCAACAGCTGGAAGCATGTTTTGATGATGGTATATTGGTGGGAGGAGCTTTGCCTTGTGATACTGTTACTTTGTTTATATGGGCTTTCAAGACATTTACACTTGTCTGGAGTATTGTCTGTAACCTAGTCCTGAAGGGCATGGCCTTTGAAGCGACAAACTTTGAGCTCCATGTCATGTGCTGAATTATTGTGTGAAAGTTTTAGATTATTATTGCACTGCTTGTTGCCAGTAAGTGAAGATATGTAGCAGAACTGGCAACTTATGCAAATTATCTGTACTGCAAAAGTAGCTGGGTCATTTGTTTAGTTACTGCCAACAGTGAATAGCATTTTTATTGATATGCACAATATTTTTACCTATTTTACTTTTTAATGGTTCCAAAAGTGTCTTTGATGTTAGTTGTTGACTGTTCTGCATTATACATTATTGCCAGGCATACATCCTAGTGCGTCAATGCCTAATTATCTTGACCGGTGACAGCCTTTCTGGACACTGAGGTTCCATAATAAATGGTGCTAAAATATGCTCGCACAATGTAATAGCTCATCTGTCGCTATGAATTTCATGGCTGGCTCACTGTATGCACTACGGATCTATGTTTTATTTGGGCTGTAGCCACACATAGCATCGGCTATTAAATAGCTTAGAAGGCCATAGCAGTAGCAGGAACTGTTAAGGGTTCATTAACCACCTTTGAAACTTTTTACACACTTTAAATGAATGCCCACATAGTGTGCAGGATGCCATGACAATCACCCTTGGCAAATATGGCAGTGCTGTATGTAGCATTTGCAGGAACACTACATATTCAAATTGTCATCCTCCTTCTCTGGCCTTTCCGGTGCCTCCTTTATGCATTATGATGTCACCAGGGTGTGAATTTGATGGAGAAAAGCAGTTACAGTAGACTCGCAATAAGTCAAACTCTGATAATTCACACTTTACGTTAATTCAAACGAAATTCTATTTTTTGGTTGGCCTTCTATTCTTTCAGTGTATTTAAAAGCCCCTTAATTCAAACTCCATCATTCGGTTAACTCATACTCTTTGTGGTTCCATACCAAAAAATAATTGCTGATTTCCTATTACTATTTAAAAATTTGTGTGCTTTATATAGTAATAAGTCTAAAAATGAAAAATTAGCACCTCAGGTCCTCAAGGAAAAAGGCTTTGCTAGTAAATAAATGTTTGAAAACAAAGCACATGCATGGCAAACCGTGATGCTTCTCAACTGGTTTAGAGAGCTTTTTGCTAAAGGCACATATAGCAAAGAAGCAGTTGGCCATTCACAATTTTTTTAAAAGGTCTGATTAGCAGTAAATTGCCAATAAACTTGTAGACCTTAAACCTCTGCTTTCCGTTAACTAGGGTTAAAATGCTTAAAAAGTTTTTAAATCTGATGAAATCGATGCCTTATCATAATGTGTGGTGTCACCTCACCCACAGTCATATGTCTGAGCACTTCTGATAATTCAAACTTCTTGATAATTGAAACAAAATTCAGAAATCCCTTCGAGTTTTACTTAACAAGAGTCGACTTTAATTGGTCAGTTAATGAGGAATAACAGTGCCATTGTGACAAGAGCCCACTGTGTGTTCTGAAAATAGATAGGAGTTTGATCATTGCATGCTGCTGAACATTTATGAAGCTTCCATTGAGCCTCCGGCAGGTGATTAGAAATTGTGCAAGAGAGAATTCAGGTGTATAGACTAGATATTACCCAATGTTGGATGACGAAGATTGAGCACCAGCATAACAGCAGTGAAGGCAAGCAAGAAGTTATGGCAGAAGCATATTCGTTCACTGAATTCTCATCATTTTGCTATTACTGTGCCATGCAAAACTAGTTTGGCAATATTTTTTTTTATTCCACATTATTACTTGTTTCTTAAATTTATAACCAGGGGTGGTCCAAGGTCCTTTAACTATAACCTGCATGCAAACTTTATTTTTTTATTGTACTGCAGTGGAAAGTTTTATAGTACTAACTCTGAAGAGACCAACTTATGCCTTTTGTTGGATGAAGCTGAGCAAACTGGGGAAGATATTGTTGACTGCTGTTAATCAGAAGTTGCCAAGAGCTCCAGAACTGGGCAGAGGTAGGCAGACAGTGGAGGCACTGCTTTTTCTGCACAGTGAAACTAGCCCCATCTAACATAATAAACTTTGGTTTCTCAATATGCCACCCCCTGTTCACTCCCGCTTCCACCCACTCATTGTATGCCCCCAGGCCCCCTGCAATTGAATTGCTGTAAAGTTGGTCTTTTTTTACTTGGAACTGTTTCACTGTGCATACTACAAATGCATACTTTTAAAAAAATCTTTAGATGTTGATGTACACATTACAGCAGTCAGCATTTGCTCAATAAATCATTCCAAATCCAGCCTATACTGCCTTGACTGCTGTAACTGTGTTGATACTTTATGCAAGTACTACTTGTGTTTGGAATGTCAGAGGGGGCAGGTATCACTGTTAGCTCTATCATAACTGCAGGTTGTACTTATAGGTAAGTTGTATACTTGCGAGTCTCTTCTATTTAAGTTATCTGGAATTTACCCCACAGTATGTTGACTAGCATTTTTCTCTATCATTGCAGCAAATTGATAGACCTATTTATTGGGCCTTTTAAACAAAGTTAATAAAAACTAAATATACAAAATAATGACACGATGGAGAAGTGCCTACGAAAAATATTACTTATGGATCACCTGCACTGATTAATGGTATTACAGTCGAACCCCTTTATAAAAGACACTGATATGGGACAAATGGGTATAAGAGCGGAGGAGGAGAAAAAAAGGATAGGAAGGTTGTGTGCATGCATTGCAATAGTGGTAAAGAAAATGCATACATAGTACCCTGCTTATAAGAGACACCTCATATAAAAGATGAAAATTGCTCTGTGGTGCATGTCTTATAAAGGGGTTCAACTGTAGTTGAATTTGGACAAGCCATGGCCTTCATGCAATGACTGCCTGCCCCAGTGTAAAAGTGAGCTGAAAATTTTCAATATAACCAGCTGCGCTTCCTAAGTTGAATCACTTAATATGTGGGTATTGGAGGATTATATGTGAAGACTGTAATTGCCACCAAGGCAACAGCAGAGAAGCCAAACCACCGAATCACCTTTCTTTCGCTTAGCCCGACTCCGGTGATTTTTTTTTTGCTATGTCAAAGTAATGGTGCTTTTATGTTCCTGAGACGCTCATGTCATGGGCCTGATAGCAGAAATACGCGGCAAAGTTGATAATTTCAAATAAGTAAAAAAAATCGCAACACCAAAACCTAACTGCAGTACTGTCTTCATGTGATGTAGACGCTGGTAAAAATCATGCAAACCGGAAACCGTGCAAGGCGTGCTGGTCTCGTTTGTGCATAGTATGAAAACGGTGAAACGTACACACTCAGGGGAAGGGTGACCCCATCATATCAGTTACACCATCTTTGTTACTGACCATGCTATGTGCACAAGCTCCTCAGAGCTGTTGGAAAATGACAGCTAAAATTAAGACACATGTGGAGGCCAAGTAAAATCAAAAGAGGAATGGCAAGTGCTGGTTGTGCATTCCCCTGTCAGATGTGCCACTTGTCCAGGTGGCTCCTAATTGTGGGGTCGTGATCGGTAAAATGCTACGCTAAAAAGTTTGTGGACATACTGAAGCTTCTTAATATTGCTGTTGGAAGAATGCATATGTTTGGCAATAGCGGAGTTTAAGATTGTGCTGGCAGGGCTGAAGGAATTCACATTAAGCCAAGTACGAGCCACCTTTTGTACAACATACCAGGCCCAGTCACGGTGCACCCTATATACGTTATAAAAAGTGTTTCCATATGGCAATGTGCACACTTACTACACTACCGTAATGTTCACGCATGGACCCTGGTCAGCCGGTACAGTATTAACACAGTTTCCGTGAAGTGAGCCGGCACTGCTTGCTGAAACACGATACTATCAATACGAAGGCTAATCGTTACCTCTGAGTGTTTCGTGAATGTTCAGGTAATTATACTGGATCGTGGGCAACCACAATGCAACACCACTTGCCACCAATCGCACACAGGCTTACAATGAACTGAAATTCACACGCTCAACTAACAAAACGTTGGGAAAGCAATGCACTTGATCGTTACCTTGTGAAGTTGAATAGCAGACGATGTAGTGGCACCTGACTTCCGTCGCTTTGACACACAATGTTGCCAATAATTGTAGGAAGTCAGTTGGGAAAGTCGGGGCAATCTGTAAAATTCATTTGTTAAAAATCTGCGTATATCTCCAGCCTGGAATTGGGGACAAATGATGGAAACATGCAAGGGAGTGTACCCAGTGAATTTCATTGAGATCCCTTAACGTCGAAAAATCACTGGAGTTGACCTTTAAGTCGCTGGAAAACAATTTTTCATGGTACCAGTTTCTCTTAGCGTTACTGAAAGCTTACCATACAGGGTTAAATATCAGAATACACTGGAAACGTGCTGCAAAGGGTTATGTGTAAGGGTAGCTTTAATTACGCATCAGCAGTGGGAGAATATGCCTCTAGTGCTGCTATTCATGTTTTTGTTGAAGCTGTTGCTAGAATCAGTCAGCACTGTTTGTATTGCACGGGGAGACAGGAACTCGAGGTGCTTGCACATACTGTGTACATAAGCATGGAATTGTGCTGCCATGTAGTGACGAGGTTTTATTGTATTCATTTTTGTGGCCCCCATAAAATTTTTCCGGCACTGAAATTTTTCTTATTCTATTGATTTTTCTGACTGTGGTGCTAGTATCCACCCTACACAGAACTGGTCGACATCATTTGTATGTCACTTTGAAACCACCTAACTGAGGGTACTCAATTGCAGATTTGTGCTCAAGTGTGCTGCTGTACAGTAAAGGACGCCACTGGCCTTTCATTTCACTCATTGCTGCGAAGGTAACACCACTTGTCAATGTATAGCTGTCTTTTACTTTGCAATACCCACAGAGTGTGAATGCCTATGTGATACAAAGACTAGTTCTAAGCACAAGGTAAGGTGCACTAAATAACAGCCGGCTACCAGCAGTAATCTGAATGCCTTCATTACATAGTATCGAGGTTTTTCCGCAAGTTTGCATGACATGCCATGTTTTACAGCTTGCTATGTTACTTCATGCGTTTTTAAAATTTAAATTGTGGACAGCGTGATCGATTCTATCGCTGTAACTTATGTTCTCATTTTCACCTACACCTTATCGTACGTTCTGAGCTGTTCTCAGTCCCTTTAAATATCCCATTCTGATAGCCTACTTGATATTATTTTCTGGCAGAGGATAAACAATCGGATGCAGGAGTATTATAAGATGCAATGAATAGGGGCACTTAATATATAATTTTTATTTTCTCAAATGTTGACCAACTAATTAAACTGGCACTGCATGAGCTCAGTAGCAATGTCTGCTTCAGCTATTCATTGGCCCTAAGGGAGCACTTTCTTCAAGGCATAGCTACAGTAAATCACTTTTTTGATGGAGGACCTAGGCCCAAGCATCGCAATAATGTAACCACGATCTCATA